ACCCTACTTCGTCGCAAAGCGGTTCTTTATGTCGTCGTTAGCTAGCTGTTTCGTCTGGAATGTGCGTGGGCTCAACGGCTGCGCACGCCGCAACGTCGTCAGGGAGTTCGTGGTCCAAGAGCGACCCACTCTCGTGTGTATTCAGGAGACTAAGCTCTCCGACATCTGTAACACCATGGCTAATGAGCCTATCCGTAGAGGTTTCGACTCCCTTTTCTTCCTCATTGGATGGATGATCTGGAAGGAGCGAAACGCGAGGACCTTCAATGGCGTTGCAACTTCGGCGGTGCGATTGGGAGTGATGATCCAGGAGGAGGTCGATGCTTGGTGTCTGGCTGGCTACAGACAGCTAGGGGCGCTCATGGCGATTCTTTGACTTGGCTCAGACACTAGTCGCTAATTGGGTGTTTATGTAATCACAATCACGTGCAAGGCCGGTTGGAGAGGGCTTCGGTAACCTCGGATTACCGTGGCAGCTCTTCGTTGTAACAAAACTCTCTTCTGCTTAATGAAATACGTGCCTCGGCACAATCGTGAAAAAAAACTTGAAAAGCAAATGTGGTAATAGAAAGAGACAATGGAGAGGAGTAAAGGACTTGGAACAAGAAGTATATATGAGCTAGCAAACCAGAGGTTAAAACTACTAAGAAGAAGAGCAGTGAAGTTATCATTAATAATGTATAACTGCAACTAAAGAATCGAAGCATCCATTGCAATATTCAGTGACAGTTTGAGACTAGTTAGATCAATGCAAGACGAGATAGTTTATGACAGGATCAAGGAGATGCCATCTTATACCAAGGAGAAATTTTGGAGGTGTTGGTGCAATTAATACCTGGAGAGTTCGACCATGGGATCTGCTGTAGGGAGTTGAATCATCCTTGAGGAGACCGTCGTCATCGTTGTCTGCGGTGTATTCGGATTGAAGGCGGAAGAACAGTTGAGTATTGAGTTGGGGGGAATGAAGCCTGGTCCGAAACCATCCACCACCATGCATGGATCCGCGGTGTTAGGTCTCCGACCAGACAACATTCCCCTCAACTGCCATATATATATGAGAGAGCGAGCTGAGGATCGATCATCAAGCAGAACAAGGCTTGTGTTCATGTCGATTCAGATCACAAGCGTTTTTGTTTGTGGAGAGAGAGAGAGATCATGGAGGACTTATATGAACGAGATTAAGATAAGAGTGTGAGAGAGAAGTAGCTAGGCCGCAGGGAAGCTTGTTATCGGCCGGGCAAGGTCGGTGCGTGCTTTCCATAGCCTTATGGCAGATTGATACACAAGATGCTTCTTTCGCTGTCGTCGCTTTCACACCACATCTTGCACCAACAACATATCAAATCCGTACTGCATGCATCCTAAGTTAGCATGCTGATCACGATCTAGTTCAGAGTCAAACTACCTCACCTCTCAGAACACGTTTTATAGCCACGCATCTATCCCGACATGAATACGTCGTCGTCAAAACCATCATGAGTTCATGACTATGTATCTTAGCCGCCAGTCAAGACGATGACAAACAATCTGCATTTCCTAAGACATATGGTCGTGTAGTTGTGCTAGCAGAACGTTTTAATGCAGATTAAGAAGCGTCATCTGAAAAAGGCTGAACTTTGTTTGTTTGACAACGAATTGAAGGTGCATGCAAGGTAGATGATTTTATTCCCAAGCAAAGGATTTCTTTTGCTTTGCACGTACTGCATCCACGCGCTGGGCTGCATGGCCCTTGCGCCCCTGCCTGCTGCATGCTGCTACCCAGTTGTTTTGATTCCAAGCTTAGCGCTGAAGAAACTCCATCGCCTGCAGCAAAGAGAGCTTTTCTTCTTGTGGGGCTGTGTGAAAGACTAGAGCAAACAGGTGGTAGGAGGTGCGGTGAAAAGAAAGGTGAAACAACCTGTAATGATAATTCTTACCCTGGAACTAATTACTTGCATGTTTTTTTTTGGTTCTGTACAAATTAAAAAGAGATATATAGCTGTGTGAATGATAGGATAGCAATGCCAGGCTTTGGTGGAGAGTTTTTGCTTTCTGGTTCTGCACAAGGAGCTGATAGCAGTGTGTGAATGATGGAATAGCAATGCTAGGCTTTGGCTGGCTCCTTGTATGACAGGGACTGATGGAGACTTCTTGATTTGTGTAGGGCTGGGATTTAGCGAGCTGTAAGCCTGGAAGGTTGTGGAGGAAGCGAAGGCCTTGTTTAGTTGGCGAAATTTTTTAGGAAATGATACTATAGCTCTTTCATTGTTATTTGGTAATTAGTGTTCAATTAAAGTCTAATTAGACTTAAAAGATTTGTCTCGTGAATTTTGTCTAAACTGTGTAATTAGTTTTATTTTTTATTTATATTTAATGCTTCATGCATGTGTCTAAAGATTCGATGTGACGGGAAATCTTGAAAAATTTTACAAAATTTTGGAAACTAAACAGGCCCCAAAACAACCTTCCAAATGACAAGATAGAGGCAGTGGGCACAGGCGCACAGCGTGGGTCCAAATGGTAAGCTACCTAGTACTTGTACTTCCTCTAACAGATAAATCTAGGTTTGTTTCAAGTCAAATTTTTCTAAGAAAATGTTTGTTTATCCTTGACTTAGGCATGGAAGATAAAGCTTGAAATGAGCTAAAATAATCTAGTCTAAGTAGCTTACAGGATTTTATAAGGTAGAGGGGTCTCGATTATATAATCTGACTTATAAGTTGAGTTATTGCCAATTGAGTACATATAAGTTCGATTATAAACTTAAAAAAAAAGAAAACTGGAATTGTATATAATACTTACAAAATAGTAAAGGGTACATAAATGAGGCCTAAACTTTGCTATCTCCATTTGAAATTAGTAGGCATATTTTGTTTCATTAGGACAAGATTTTGACCAACAATTAATCTACTTACGTGATACAAAAATCATCATAATATTTTTTTATAAAAATATAATAACATTTTGCTTTTAAAAAGGGTAAAACCCTTTTCAACCTCAGATCGACTTTCACCAATTTTCAATCTATAAAACTAGGTACCGAACACTCTACAACTGTTGAAACCGAATGGAACACCACCCAAGCGTATGCAAAGTGGTTCCCAAGGAGGTTCACTATTAAAAAAATGATTTAATCTTTAAAAAACTCATAACTAATTTATTTTGAATTAGAAAAATACGAAATTAACATTTTCTATTTGTCGATGATCTATTATAATTATTGAAACTTATTTATTTATAGTCCTATTGTTTTATTGCTCATAGAGTGTTCATTATTTATTTAAATTATCGTTTAGCACCGTAGCTACATCGACCAAGAGGATCTTGCAGATTATGAGTATATTGAAAGATGTGAAAGAAGACTCGAAGCCATGCTCCACCACGTATATAGATCCTATTCCCACATTGCATGTCAGCTGCTAAGGTAGTGTCTCAAACTTCATGTAATCAACTAGTCATGTAATTAGCATAAAGTGCAGCTTAAAACAAATAGATTTTTTATATAAAAAGTAGAAAAAATCCCTATTTTTATGATTTAAAATAAATTAGTTATAATTTTTTTAAAATAAAACTATATATTCTTATTATTTATAGAAAATAGAAACCGCCTCGGGAACCACTTTGCACATGTTTGCTGTGGTGTTTGTCCGATCTTCCTGTTTTATAGTTTACAGCTGAACACCCTGTTCGCTTAATCGTATCAGTCATGTTTATCAGTCATGATACAGTGTTTTTCTCTCACAACAAAACAACGTCAGCCGGCTTATAAGCCACAGAAACGATAAGTGAACATGGTGAAAAATTAGGTTTCCATATAAGTTGGAGGTCGAAAAGAAATTGTTGGTCAAAGGTATATATTCTAATAAAATGAAATACGCCAACCAATTTCAAACAGAGGGAACAATACTTACACAAGTATATAGTCTTAAAGTAAGTATTTTTTGTATTATGTAAATATTTTTTATGATTATAAATATAGTCCAAATCGGCAGCCTCGGAACAAACTTGAGTGAAGCAAATTGCATTTTGGATTTTTTTTGGTATAAAACAGTAAACAAAAATCCAGTAAAGCCTGAACCAACAGTTACTGCGGTTCCAGGAAGTAAAACCATGCTGTAGAGCCAAATATTTCAGGAAATGATTTCAACGAACATAAGTCTTTTAACAACACAAACTATGTCGATTTGATTTCCACTACACATTCTTTTGCTTTCTTTCTTCAGCTTTTGGTGGTCTTCTTCCCCATTGTAACGAGAGGCCATGCTTAAATCTCTCAACCTGAAATTACATGCAAAGGCTAGAGAGAGAAATGCGGGGTTTAGGGGGAGACGGCGGGCATCTGTTCCCTCTCTCTCTCCTCCGGAATCCTACACTGAGAGAGGGGAAACCATTTTGCCTCCTCTTTGCAGCCAGAAACTTTTTTCCCCAATTTCTTGGGATTTTTTCCCCACACTTCTGGACCTTTTGGTTGAATTCCACTGTATCGCTCTCGTCCTTTGCCTCCATTATTATGTTACCAAATCGGTGATTTAGGGAAACCCAGCTTCTTGATCGAAGATCTGCAGCGCTGGTATGTTCCGAAATGAATTTCCCTTTGAATCTGAACAATCTGGTGCGAATGTGAAACCCTAAATGTTACATTTACAATTGCTAAAAAGATTGCACATTTATGCAACTATTTTGCAGGAAAGATCGGATCCTGTGATCAATTGGCGATCTATCTATTTGTTTGAATCCTGGCATGCGATTCAGAGCAACCTGGTAATTGCAGCTTCTTCTGCATTGCTAAAGTTTGCGAGGACACTTGCTGCCTCGTGCCGCATTGGTGAAGTTTGCCTGTGGAAGTTTTCATCTTTTGGAACCACAGATGGGCATGGGTGATCAAGATTCTAACACTGCTCGTTCTTCATCAACAATGTGGTGTGATTTTAGTATCTTTGTGCCTCACTGATGGGAACTTCATAGGAAAAAAAAGATTTCACAGCAACCTACATGCGTATTGGGGGTGTGTTCAGCTTCCCATGGCTGCGCAAGCTCGTGCAAGGCCGCGGAACTTTTCGCGGCGATTCTGGCCCGTGCTTCGCACTGCCATCAGCGAGTGCTGTTTGATCATAATGCTCGTTGCGACTGCCGTGCTGTCATATATGGCCACAAGGTTCGCACGCATGTGCAGCCTCCGGTCACCATGTATGCTGTGCTCGAGATTGGATCGGTTTCTACATGGCAAGGCCTGGTTCTCTGAAGAACTAGTTTGTGCTGCACACAGGCTGGAAATATCACGTTTGTCGTATTGCCAGAGTCACAACAAGCTTGAGCGCTCTGATGATATGTGTGATAGGTGCCTGCTTTCTTGCACTACCTCAGGTGGTAAGACCTGTAACCTGACAAACATCAATGCTAGGGATAAGGTGAAGTCTCGGTCGAGATCTAGGCACAAACAGCTGTGCTCTTGTTGTTCAGTGCGGTTCAAAAAGAAACAGGATTCACACGTGCTACCTGACATAGCAAATAGCAGGTTTCCAGATGATGATATGAGCAAATTAAAACAAAGAAGCATAGCCATGCCTAGTGTTGGGCATTCTTCAGATGACGGCTCTGATCACTTGCCGTATGAAGGATACAGAGAACTGAAGGTTGGCTACGAATCTGAATCTGAGATTCACATCTCAGATAGTGATGACGATGAGAGCAATGCAGTACCTCATGAAGCTAGAGAAAGAGCCAATCACATGTCAAGTCGTGATGTGCAGCTGCAACCAATGATCGCCAATGCCAGCAGCTTGTCGATGCTTCCTTCTGATAAAACTGTTATGACAAAGCCCATGCAACCGTTGAATACTGCAAGAGATACTGACAGTCAGTCTAGTGATACCAAGGTTGCAAAATCTATGGATCGTGCTATTGGGCATGGTTTGGATGATATCAACTGGAGTCAAATCAAGGCAAGTGACAACATTATCGACATGCAGTCGGAGGCTATACCTAAACAAGTTTCCGCAGAGCTCCCAAAAGAGAAAAGTATGTATGTTATCTAACACGTTGTCATCCTTATCTAACTTGAACTATTTCTGAGTATGTCAAATTTACATTGTAGCTTTTCTTGTTGGTATTGAGGAAGTTGGTGATTCTTTTGAGGGTGTTTCAGGAAGCCCTGATGTGGAAGCTGCAAAGGATTTTGCTGCTTCTACAAATGCTGGAACAAGCTCAAGTGCAGACACTCATGTCAGCCGGAACAACAGCATGAAAAATGCTTCTGCAAGCAGAGGCTACCTTAAATCTCCTCATTTATCTGAAATAATCTCAGCCAGGGACACCTACTCAAAAACAAATGAAGAAGTGAAGACATTTCTGTCACAATTGTCAACTGCACGAGGATTTGATGGCTCTTTGAATGAGATGACTTCTAGCCCCAGAAGCGGCACACAGATTGATGAGTACCGGCACTATGATGCTACTGGTATGGCACCATTTCTTGATAGGAACAACTCAAATCTGGATCCATTTGATGTCAATGCAACTAGTGAAGATGAAGGTGAAAGTTCCATGGAACGCTTGAAGCAGCAGGCTGAGTTTAACAGGAAAAAAATGAGTATGCTTTATAAGGAGCTCGAGGCAGAGAACGAAGTGCTTCAGCGGTGGCCATAAGCGAAGCGATGGCTATGATCAACAGGTTGCAAGAGGAAAAGGCTTCGATGCACATGGAAGCACTGCAGTATCTCCGGATGATGGAAGAGCAGGCTGATCATGACCAGGAAGCAATTGAAAAGTTAAATGACTTGCTGACAGAAAGGAGAAAGAATTACTTGACCTGGAAGCTGAACTTGAGGGTTACCAGAGCAAGCTTCATGATCAACCATTTGATGTTGGAAAATTTGGTGCTACTGATGGAGCTATGACATTTGGAGTCTTGGATGGCTCAGATTTCATGAGGCATACCATCTTTGACTTTGAAGATGAAAAGGCAAAGATTTTGGAGTCCTTGCATAGATTGGAGGAAACCCTAGGCATGCCCTCCACAAATAGACTTGATATGGGTGATGCAAATGATACTCTACAGAACAGTCTATTGAGTGATCATTCAATGAGCAGTAGCCAGTATATAGAAAATTCAGAGTTGGAAAGTTCGCCATTGCCTCGGGAGGACTTGATTAGTGAGTCAATTTCTTCTCAGCACAACGATGAGAAGGAATCTGTTAAATACCTGCGCAGTCACAGTCACGAGAAAGATGAGAATGAATTTGTTGAGAAGCAAAAGAATGTTACTTCATGTTCCCACTTAGATGATATCGATACTATGAAAAGCGTTAAACATGACATTTCTCTCCTTAATGCAAGATTCAAGGCACTTGAAGCAGATCAGGATTTTCTCAAGCAAATACTAAGTTCTCTTAATGTTAGCAGTGATGGAGTACAATGTATCCAGGAGATAATTAGCCATTTGCGAGAGCTGCGAAGAATCATGGCAGACCAAAGGGACATGACAGTTTTATGAGGTCATGATGATTGATCACTATGAAGGTAATTGTTTATAGTTTAACAGTTAGCAATGAGAAATTATTTTGAATGTCTTAGAACAAGTTGTGGATAATGAAAATACATGGTATCTTCAAAATCATTTATCGGTCATTATTTTGGTCAAAGTTTCTTCAAAATCGCTGAACTCGCATAGGGGACACCTGCTTTTGGTCACTCACTGCTCTATCACTGAGTAGTTGGCATTGCTTGATTCTTTTTTTCTTCCAATCTGCAGTAGCAAGTAGGAAATCTCAGTCTCGTCATCATTTTATTTTATTGAATTACGTTTCCCAATCTAAGGATTTTGACCCAACCTCTTGTTTCAGTTACTGCCATCGTTGAGCCACCACTGCTACTGCACCATGATGGTGAACTTCATGGAAGCATGATGCTCCAGCTCGGAGATTTGGCAAATGGCAGTGGTAGAGCATCACCCAGATGTGATTTTGAATGACATGGGAGCACGGAACATACTCATCTCGGAGATTTGACAAAACCGTGATGTCTCGGAATAGTTAACTACCAAGAAACGGATATTCCTTGTATCATCTGGGTGTGGTGGCTGTTACTTGTAGGAGCTAGTTTGTCAGTGTAATTAAAATCTCCAGGTTTTGTTGAGATCAGTTCGGTTAGTTAACTAGTTGGTGATTATGGTAGATGAGTTTGCTCCCTACTCTAGACCTGGCACGCATGCAGGTCCAGCAATGCACCACGTTCACATCGACGATTTACAGACGGCACGTTCTATTGAGGATGCTTGCATCCTGAATGCCTGAAATTCTCAAGAAAACCAAGTCCGTTGCCACTTGCCAGTACACTTGTAAGGGACAGCCTCAAAGGCAACAACGATCAGAGCATCCCAACAATCATCAGAACATAACTACTGAGCCAGGAGCACACATTGTAGCATCAAATCACTTTCATGTTAGAACAAAACTTTCAGGGGGTACAATCATTCTACGTGACCATAGCTTTACAGGTACCAATAGCTTCAGCAACCACATTCTGTTCAGAAAGTAGCTTTACGCCTTTACCTGGCGGCTAGGCTCCAACTACCACTCCTCGCCAGAAAACATCGTGCGATCGTGGAGGTAAAAGAAGAATCTATGTGAATGACAAAATGAATACAACCATCTACTATTCAGTATGGAATCAAGCCTGGACAGCGCTTCGCTCCACTGCTTCTAACATAGGCAAAAGATCAGAAACCACTTTGGTAACAGGAACATGCACAATTCGCTCGCTAAAACCATTTCTTGCCATCCCAGACAGAATTGAGACCTCAATACAGAGAGAATTTCCTTCAACCAGCTCAGCCCATAATGTGTCTTCTTCATTGAGATCGGCTTCTCTCAAGAGCTGTAGTACTTTATCCAGGCGAGCAACATTCCTTCCAGCCCCACAGCCAGTGGCGGTTGCAGCACCAACTGCATTTGCTAGGGTTAATGTGTTGACCGCTGGCAAGTCATGGAGGAACCCAAAGGCTATAGCAGCAGTAAAGCTATCTCCACATCCAACTGTGTCCACAACGTCGATCTAATGAAGACAGGCAAAGTGAGTATTACAGTTCGATAAATCAGGAAGTAACTTTGATTACTTCCAACACACTATTTCACAAATGAAGGCTATTTATCAGTACAATGAGTACCTTGAAAGCAGGCGCGCAGGAAATAGTGTTCTTAGTGATCATGATCGAACCCTTGGAACCCATTTTGATGACAACCTGCTTTGTGCGGATCCCCCTCTTTAGCAACTCTTGCCCAGCCTGAACTGGGTTTCTGATGTTTGTTAGAGATTCAGCCTGTGAAACAATAACATCAATACATGAAAAACTAAGAGCAGAAAATGCAACAATAAGTAACTGTGTTCTAAATGAGGCCTAGTTCAGCGATGAACTCTTTCAAAAAGCGTATTCGTGTTGTGCAGTATATTTTATCTTAAGTAAAATAGTTTAATCCCTTTTTTTTTATAAAACAAAGGAGAAGCAGACACAGATGATCATTCAGATCTTGCCAACCAGAATAGGACCATGGAGAGACAACAAGACATAAATCATCGGAAGCTCACTCGGCCTTTTATAGAGAATCTGGTCTCACAAAAGAAATGACTACCAGAGATCTGTTGTGCTGGATATGACCAATTGATCATTCCTCTATACATAGAGCACCTGCGTAAATTACTGTAGAGTAGTAAATTAAAACTACAGCATGTATGCCAACTAACCTCGTCTGATGTCAAGAGGAGGACATCACTGAGGCTCAGCGCATGCTCAAGTGCTCTCTGCTCATCCAAGGTCCCATGTAAGAGAGATTTCCCACGGGGACCAGGATCAAAAAACACTGCTGTTCCCGAATCAATTGCACAGTCGATAGAGGATGCGATCACATCAGGGAAGAACTCATCAAAAGCATATCCATTACAAAACAGTATTTTGGAGTGATGAATAGCTGTCCTGATATCTGCTGGGAGTTTACGTATCCAACTGAAAGTTGGCTCTTCACTGAAGTCTGCACGGCTGGCATTGCAAAGAAAGCAACACTGATAAATGACCAAGCACATTAAACCAGGAAAAAGGATTAGCTGACATGAATTTCATAACAGGAATTGAAACATGAATAAGAACTTTGTTCCAAAAAAGCATGTCCTAACCTGCAAAAACCATGTTTCTGAAATGGGTCTACAAGAACCCAGCATAGAAGTGTTTCATAGGCCTCATGGCACGCAGCAGCATTGGTATTTTCAAGCATCCCAACAACACTAATGCCCTCCGCTTGGAGCACATCAAGAATAAATTTTCCATATATTTCCTCTCCTACATGACCCAGAGTGGAACAGCTAAGCCCAAGCCTAGCTGCAGCAAAGGCTAAATTGCAGTTTCCACCAGCCTCCCAAAATTTCTGTTAAAGTGATAGAATACAAAATGTTCAGAACATACAAAAACCAGATATTGCATTACGTGGGGCTCATGAAGCGTTAGGCATAAGTCACTCTGCAGCATTCTGATATACAATCCGGTTCTCCACATTTCTCCCAAGTAGATGAATCTCGCCAGAAACTAGCAACCAAAAATATAGCTTACCAACTCGTTTTTGCTACTCGATTTCTGAAATCATGATCAACCTCACAAAAACAGATGATTACAAGCTTATCCATATTGAACTGTCAACATCTAGTTGTTAAGGCACAACCTATCCTCCACCCAGCTAAAAAATGACATAAAGAAGAAACAATGCAAGCTTCCCCAAATAAAAAATCCCTCAGGTAACGATCAATACATTTCTGGTTCATCACGCTATGTTCGTATCTAATGCCAAATCCAAACAACAAATAGCTCAGGAACACTGTTTTGTAAACAACACCACAGCGATTTGTTACGGTGATCGTACCTGATCGGGCGGTGAGGCGGCGAGGCGCTCCATGTAGGCTTTCCGCTCCTCCCGCGGCGCGGGCGGGAGCTGGGGCACGCTGAGCACGACGTCGACGCAGAGGTTCCCGAGCGTGGCGAGGTCCGTGTCCTTCCTGCCGTCCTCCCCGCCATCTTGCGGCGCCCCACGCCTCCTGGCCTCGTTGACGGCCCCCGAGACGGCGGCAGCGACAGCGCGCGGCCGGGCGGCGCCGCCCGCGAGGCGTCGGCGGGGAGGGAGGTGCAGGAGGGACTGCGGCGGCGGGTGGCCGCGGCGCGGGGCGGGGGACGGCGCCGGGGAGACGGCCGCCGCCTGCCGGTACGGGTTTAGGGTTTGGAGCGCCATCGGAGCGAAGATTGGGAGGGGGCCGCGCCCGAGATGAGGTGACCGGGTGAGGACTGGAGGAGGAGGCGAAGCGTCCAGCCGTCCTGGTCCAGCGAGGGAGGGAGGGAGCCGCAAAGAGTTGGAAACAGGATGGGCTGGGGTGATTTGAGGGTGAATGGATCACATAATGGAGAGTGGTGTAATAAGTTTTTTCACTCTCTTTATCACATCAAATCTTTAGACACATGTATGAAGTATTAAATATAGATAAAAAAATAATTAATTATATAGTTTGATTGTAAATTACGAGACGAACCTTTTGAGCCTAGTTAGGCCATAATTGAACAATAATTGTCAAATACAAACAAAAATGCTACCGTACCAAATACTGATTCCTAACCTCAATATAAACAAGGCCTGAAATTCGGATTCTGTTTGTGGCGGATTGATTCCGATAGGAAAAGCATATTGCTACATATTGACTGACATTTATGCCCTGTCAATATGGTGCTACGAAGTTGTTTTTTTAAGAGTCAACGGGGATGACCAAATTCCACCTGAGGACTTATTCAGACGTTATCGAATTCGTATCAATCCATATGTATTGAAGTGGATTGAGATAAAATTTAGTTCAAGTTTCACTCCAATCCACCCTAACATATGTGGATCGATGGGAATATGATTAAATACAAACAAGACCTGAATAAGGTGTAAGGACCAGGGTTCGAACCCTGGCCGACCAGCTGAACTATAAGGAGCCTTGCCACCACGCTACTGGTACGTTTGAAGTTGTCATGGTTCGCTACATCTTCTCCTGTCTAAATACAATGGGTATTTACTTTATGATGTAAAATATAGCGTGCTGCAACTATATAACCTAAAAACAACCACAACGTATGGTGAAACGGAGATGCTAGCGCCCAGACGTTTGGACGCATGTGCGTATCCGGACGCCCGTGCCTCCTGGCCTGTTCCCCTACACCCTCAGTTTCCCGTGCCTACTCGTTTTTCGCGCCTTGTCCCGTGCCGACCAACCACACATTGGTGCCCACTCGACGGCGCCCCAGCAGCTGCAGCAGGCGGCTGCGGCAGATGGGTCTCATTCAACATGTGCAACATACGATCAATCTTTACAACATTCATATGAAAAACTTGCAACATACGCCCAAAACAACGAAACATTTACAACATACGTCTGAAACACTTGCAAAACACCAGAAAAACTTGAAAGCATGTGTGTAGCTATTGC